AATTCACCGATTCAGCAAGTCTACTCAATAGATCAAGATAATTATATCTACCGTGATTTAAAAACACCATGGTTTTACAGGAGTGAGAAAAGATTGGAGCTGGAAGAGAATTCCTATGAATTTCGAATAGGCAAAGAAGTCAAAGTAAATAATTGCATTAAAGGTTCTTTAAGAAATCACAAAATTAACAACAGTATTAAAATCTATTTCTTCGAACAGCCTGTATATCGTCGAACGAATCCGCTGCCCAGCTGCATCCTAACCAGTGCGTAATGCAGCTAGTATTAATTAAGTAGCCAGTGCAAGTGCACAAACGCATCTGATTCAACAGGCGTACTGGTGGTGCCTCGTTAATATTTATTAGTAAGGAATGCCTTTGTTTGTTAGTGAGATTTATTGTGTAGATAAATAGATAACAGCCATTTAAATGCTCTGGGTCATAGGAGACTTTATTTTATTAGTAACATTGGCTATTCTTATGGAAAAATACTTGGGAAATGGAAATATTTTACGTCTTATTGTGTTTGATCCATAACGTTTTTTGTTTGTGACTTTTGACTAATTTGCAGGAACACCTTATACCTATATTTACATACATCTCCAATACTTACGAAAAGAAGGTCTAAGCAAAAGAATTTGTACCGCAATCGCAATCCTTATCATCAAGGGATATTTATGCTTTTGTTTATAACGGAAGTAGAAGGCTGTGATAACAAAGATAGCTTACATTAGAAAGAGATAACGGCATTCTGATTGACTAAAAAGGTATAACGTCATGTGCATTTTTAAATATGATTGAAAAAGAGACTGACAAAGGTGACTGAGTTTCTTCCGCCTCTTCTTTTCAGCTTCAGACCTTATGTTGTCCCTAAGTGGTGGTAGGGCAAGCTATTTGGGACGAGCCTTGGAAAGTACCTAAGTAGGTACTGAATAAAATATGTATGTATTTAATATCCCTTCTTGTGGTTTGATTTAGTACTTCATACATTACTCACGCACACGATATTCCCAGTAGACTTGTGGATTCTTATGAATGTTACTCATACTTCTCTAGTGCAGAAAATAGATATCGATAGAGTGTAAATTACCAATGCTAAAATAAAAATAGCCTTCATCCAGTATTGCGTAGGGTAGTCGATATTTTGGACTTCAGGGACGATTCGTTTAACGCACGAGGTGCCCATCTGTTCATATTGTACAGAGACTTCTTTTGTATTTCGGGTTATATTTCTTTTAACCAAAACCAAACTATTGGCCATCTTCTCACCTGATGAATAATAATCAGGCCGAAGGTGGAAATGAGCTTCACTTTGAATCTTCAACCACAGACGAACTGGCTAAATTACCTCTAAGATTTGGTACCAGTACATCATTTTAACTAATATCTTTGAATGCGTCTTGATGGGCTTCAAGAATATCACCCGTAGAGTAGAGCAAAGAGCAGTAGAGCTAGAAAATGTCAGAGTTTAGTTATTTTATTTTATTGCTGTAAAATAACGTCCCCCCCCCCTCTAAAAACTAAACTGTTAGTTTGAAAAATCTGAAAAAAAATCATGATAATATTACTTTTAATGAACTTTCAGGGAAAACTATAGCGGTTAAGATAGATTAGTTAGTTTAAGAGTAATAGTAGTTTTATTCGTGTATTATAAAATTTCATACCTAATAAAAATCCTTAGAAGATAATATGAAAAGTGACTTTAGATGAAGTAGGTAATTGCTTGCTTCTGAAGTATATTGTGGTAACGAAGGACAACTACTTAGTTTTTATTTTTAATTGCTAATATTTTTTATCAAACTTCATGAATCGTGGCCACCTCCGCCCGCTATAACGTCTGTTTACGACTGCGCCCGCGCCGGCACAGTAACACACTCTTGTGCAATGGCGCCTAAAAATAATGGCGGAAGCGCTTGTAGTTTTTACGAGTATGTAGTTGCAGTTTAGAGGTGGTGGCTGTCAGAACTGCCAGATAGATTATCTGATAATTTATGTATACTGTCCAATATGTTTTGCCTAAGAGGCAGCATAGCAATCTAGCTTTATTGGGACATACTAGAGCCCTGAAAAGGATTTACGATTATGTACTATTATACAGGGTGTTTGGCGCATCGTGTGCCAAAATGATTTGGCGGATAGAATGGGTCATTTCCTATATTTTCAGCCCCCATAACACGTTCCATGCCAGGCGGCTACTTTTATATTAATTTTTTTAGTAATTTCATCAAAATACCCAAATCGCATCATTTAATTTCGATTTAAAAAAAAACTACTAGACGTAGCCTCAAAGTAATATTTTGTTTTGACGTGCATTGATGTAGGGTTGCATAAATCTACATTTACTGGCAAACATCATTTAGTTTTTTTTTTAATTCAGCTTTGAAGTTTTCCGAAAAGTTAAAAATGAACTGAACATTTCAGTTTACATAGCTATAATTTTTTTTTTAAAAGAGATTGCGATCTTCGGATTTTATCAAAACTTCTCTAGTCTATCCCCATTCAAACGGTATACTAATCTTGTTTAAATAATAACAACAACTTCACAAATTCCTTAAATTAGTGCATTGACTCTACTCAGACTGATTTGCGAAATTTGTGTTTATAGCCCCTTTTTGTGTAAATTATGTGAATAGCACGTTAAATACCTACAGGTAAAAAATATTTATCTTATGCAATGTAAAAACCTTTTCCCTATCGTTTTTCAATGTGGATTTCTTGAAATTAAAGACGAAAATAATTATTTTGATCGTTTATTATTACAAATTTTGTTGATGTACGCCTCGGCAACGTATACACTCACGACATCTTCTTCTAATTTCGACTGTGGTCGTATGCAGGCTTATTTCTCTTTTTTTTATTACTACAAAGGCGTTTTCTATTCGTGGATTGGAAGAGATGGCCCTATACCACTGTATATGCCTGTACGTTCCCCAGACCTAACTCCGTTAGATTTTTACGTCTGGGAACGAGCTAAAGAACTGGTGTACTTAATGGAAGTTCAAACAATAGAAGAACTACAACAGCAGTGGACGTCATTTGGCTGAAACGAACGAACGAACGAACTATTATATGTAGACTTTAAGTTTATGACGATTTGGCCAGAAGAAGCTTAAGCTCCAATTATTGAATTAGTATCTCGATCCAGACAGAAGAAATCCTGGATTCTAGGTCTTTTCCTTGTTTCAGTACAACCATAGTTAGGATTAATGAGTTACAATATTGCTTGACTTTGCCGATTTCGGTCGTGTAAATGGTAAAATTGAACAAAACATCAGACAAAGTATTTTGTTCTATTCAAAAAAAAAATTCAAAAAATTTAAAATTATTTATTTATCGATAAAAGTCTTAACAATGATATTGTGAGTCTCATCCTTTTAAGTTTGTAAAACTTGTGTTAGAATGAGACTGCTCTTCTGTATGACAACTTGGGCCGGGTTACACCATCTCACCCCAAACCCTGACAGACGCCAAAAATCTCTCAAACTCCATATAAAAACACGGTCATCGCCATAGTCTATTACAAGATTCTAGTGTTTACCTTTATGTTAGTGTCCTTATTTACCAATATTTACCAATTTAACAAAAAAGTGTTAAAATCAGGGAAAATGTATGAGTTAATTAAACAGAAAGTGAAGTAGGCCGCAGTGTTGCAAGTTCATTGATTAATAATATTAATATACTCCACTTTATCATATTACAGTTTCCGTTAGATAATGAAAATATTTCTCCTCGAATTTGAACCATGTCTCCTTGATAAAAGATTCGATTTCGAATACGGCTCTAGTTCAGCAAGTTTTGTACTGGATGACGTCAAAGCTCGCAATAATTCGTATGCGATAATTATTCTTTGAAATCAAAGTACGTAAAATAATACAAGAGTGAAAGCAAAGTTCTATTTAGTTTATTAGAGAGGATCTTCCTCAAATTCCAATTTAAATTTATTTATTTGTTAAAACCTTCTGCAGTTGAGACTGACCTGGTGATGACGATGATTATAGGACAGACACAGAACTTATGACTGACGAGGTATTTAGTATTGGGCTTCGTTCAGATTATGCACATATAAAGACTTTACATAGTAGCCTACTGCGTCACCAAAATACCAAAACTGTGTCTTGTTTTAAAGTAACTGACGAATTTTTAATCGTTACCTACAACCAATCGATATCTAACAAGGTAAAATAAATACCTAATTTATTCATCGGTTTGAACCAAGCTCGAAACAGCTCCAAAAATAAAATGTTTCTCACATTTACACCAATGGAAGTCTCTACAAAGGCACAAAAACTTAATATTAAGGTAGGTATTACTTTCCGTTTATTCTTTTTAAATTAGTACGAGCAGTGATCGACTGAGTGAACATGAAAAACAGATTTTATTTTTAAAATAAGCATGGGTCGTTGACCTATTCTACTGTCGCATCAATTATTATAATTGTCGAGAGAGTAAATTAATTTGTTGTTAAGTTTACTATCATACTTTTCCAAATGCAACATTTTGTTCAAAGTGTCTCCGAAATATCTCCACCATTCACAAATGCTAACATGTGTTACAAAAAGTTTACATGTAGCTATGAACGTACATAAATATTTGCGTGTAAGAGCCACAATCGTCAAATAAATGTTCTACGGATCAAATTCAGAAAATTCTATCTCTCATATGAATAAAGCTCTTCTTTTCCCCACTGGGTATTATTCCAGAATCATAATGTAATTAAAATTCGCCGAAGTCACAGGTAAAAGCTTGTTAATCTTGAATATTAACAAGCAAAAGTTTTTGCAGTTACCAGACAGGTGACATGATTACTAACGCTATTTAAATATTCCATTATTTAATGTTTTTACATTTGCGAAGGTCGAATTTAATTTGAAAATAACTCGAATTGCTTACGCTAATTTAGGTACAGAGCCGTTTAAGTCCAATGTAACTGAAAATTAATCTTGTTCCGATAGAAAATTGGAAATGAATGAAAATGGCGCGCGAACGTAGCGGCATCTTCAGTCGGGTGACACGCCGGCTGTGAAAAACACGTCCCCTAGACTGGAGGAAAGTCTAGATGAAAAGTTAGACCGAAAACAATTTTGATTTTTTACAAAGATGTTATTTTACCTAATTTGTCTAGTTAATTTTAATGCCGCGCTAACATTTTCTTCATTCGAATCTAACGCTTGGGTACCAGGAAAGCATAAGTACCACGGAGTGCACGATGGGATGGAACACACCAAGCAGTTCGTCAACGAGTGGACGGTGGTCGTGGATGGGGACGAGGATGTGGCTCAGCTGGTTGCTCTGGAACTTGGATACATTTATGGTGGCCGGGTAAGTAATTTTCTTTTGCACCTAATTAATGTGAATAGGGGATGCAGTGGTTGAGGGTTGGGGTTGCTGCAGGACCTAGATTCTAGTATTATTTTTAGTCCTTTAGAAGCAGTTGTTGATCTTTGCTTTGTTCCAAATGATTATTTATGGAATCAGACTTTGATAAATTACCTATTTTTTGCTAGGTACTAAACTCCCAAAAAGTATAATAATTAATTTATAAATGTCCAAATAATATTTAAACCCGCATAGTGAAAAGACATTTGATAGATAAATAAAGTTTTTTAGTTATTTCAAATAACAGATTCCGGTATTAAGGGTACATTCTTTATAATAAAGGTTCATAATTAAATTTAAGAATGTATAAGTATTGTTAGTAGGTAGGTACCTAACTATTTATAGCCTTAGGGATTTGCATAAACCAGTCAAGAATTTTTCAAGATCTCAACACAACAAACTGAAGCTCGACCGCTACAGCCTATTGCTATGACCTGATTGACCTTTTATTATTAACTGATAATTATGTAAATTCCCCTCAAATACAAGTCTGTATATTTTGATTCAACTTAAGATGACTATTAGCATATTTACTGAAGCATTCGGCATTTTCAGCCGAGTCATTATCATTCATTGAAGACTACGTGTTGTAAAAAGAATAATTAACATAGTATTTTGCATATACACACATGAGTGTTGGTCAAAGACATGTAAATTCATTACCTAACAACAAATTGTGTTTTTACAAAATTTTTAATCCTCTATCTACACAGTTCACTAATATACTTTCAATAGACCATGTTCAAATATTCATACGAGAGTAATAAATAAATTAAAATGTATTAAATACTTTTGTATCGTTTGTCTCCAATAAAACTTTAGTTATTTACGAGTATTGTTAGGGTTATACTAATACTGGAAAATAGAGAAAAGAGCTTTTTAAAAGCCTGCTTGCAAAATAAATGAATGTTTGACAAAAAATATATTTCGGCTGAAAATTACAACACTATTCTGTCCATTAAGGGAACTTCCATTATTGTCTCTTAATACAGTGGTGGGCTTTGGCAAAGTCTCTGTAAGACTAATTAAAATATCCTCATTAAATATTTCCTTTTGCCTTGAAGACTTCTTAACTTACAAAATACATATTAAATGGTTTTGACAGGCTAGTAACAGAGCCCAAATTGGTTGTCTCTTTCGTCCTTAGGGACGTTATACTTAGTCAACAAAAAACTTTGACTCAGAGTGACTGCATTTCTTGCGCTGTTTCTTCTCTGCTGAAGGAATGGTAAAGGGTCAAAGTTTCAGAAGTGTTGGGTTATGTAAAAAGTGCTTTTTGAAATCCAACTTACTGATTAACTATCAGTTACACAAAAGTCATGATTTTTTATAAACCACAAAAGCCTCTCGATAGAAGAGTGACTGGAAAAAACAGTGTTTGGTCATGGTCCACCTGCTTAGTTCACCTGGGTGGACCATGGGCACTTTTTCTTGCCGGTTTTTTTAGAAATACAGGCTGTGTAGGTATATTGTACTATCTACTAACATTATCATAGATATATCATAGTTAGGCGATAAGGCTCAATAATAAATCATGGAGTGCCCAAAAACCTAAATTAAGATCAGGTGTAGGAATGCGTGCTTCAGATAACAGCAAATCAAAGCTCTGACGCCGGGCACCTCGAGTGGACTGATAAAAATACAGGGCCGGACTCTACACAGTCTACTTGTGTCTCCCACTTACCATGGGGCACACTAAAAGCATCGTGGCCTCACCGTGGGCCACGGCATATGAAGAGTGGGGTACTATTGCGATGGGCATCGCTGTTGCGACAGGGTGGGACTGCTTAGTTCACTTTTGATGATGTTCATCGTAATAAATGTTTCTTTCTGTCTTTCTAAGTAGAAATTTCATGTAGTAGAGTTTAAATGCCTTTCAGGGCATTTATAGGAATTATGAATGAATGATTTTATTTAAGGACAGAAATTAGAGAGGCTTGTCGAAATTTAAATCTATGGTGAAGTTTGATTCAAGTTTTCGGTTTAATTAATAAATAACAGCTTTACAACCACTGGAAAACGTTAGACGTCTCTATCTGGTTGGCTATTTTCTGTTTATTTCAATACACCTGCGCTGGTCTCATCAACAGCCCTTTACAGTCCACTGCTGGACTATGAGCCTCCTCCACTATAGTGGAGGGTTTTGCCATAATCCCCACGCTTGGCAGGCGGGTTGGAGATCGCAGTTTAAAAGATTGATGTTTTCCAGAGAGCGCTGCTGCCCGTTCTCTGTTTGATGTGTAGTCCCTAAGTCGCCTCTTACGACACCCGCGGGAAGAGTAGGGGTTGGTGACAATGTATTCTACTCTGCCGTCACCACACGGCACTTCGCTGGTCTATTAGTACTTTAATTCAATTGATTCCAAATGTTATGTATTGTAATTTGACGAACAAACATCAATTAATATTTCTTTTAAATCACAACTCCAGAGGCAAAGGCCCTCTGCCCTTGATCCGGCTCTGTCGAAACAAATACGTATTGCCATATTGTGACTGCATTTGACTTATCATCCTAATCTATCTGTCTGATTTCACATTCCCGCATAAAAAGCTGTTGGTAGAGTTCTGCGATTCATTTGCACTATCTAAATTAAATAAAACTATGTAGTTTGTAGTGCATTGTACGTCAACTTTTGATTAATAAAATAAATAGGTATGCAAAACATTTTTTTTGTATAACCGCAAGAAATGCACGATTAGGCACATAAAGCTATAAATGGCTGCTTAATCGTCATATTCAAACTTATGATGTACTTATGTGTGCAACTGTGCATAATGCCGTCATCGGTAAAACGAGATCTTTTAGGTAATTTATGGATGGACTAAAAATAAGAATCGATCCATGTAGACCATTGGTTCCCAAAGTGGGGGGCGCGCCCCCCCAGGGGAGGCGCAAAGACCTATAGAGGGGGGCGCGGGCCATCTATGTACTTAAGTATAAAAGCGACCGCTGAGATAATGCATTTCAGACTGCTCGTTACGACCAATAAATAATCGGAACTTTTTGTATGGTCGAAAGGGGGCGCGTCTCAAATAAGTTTGGGAACCAATGATGTATTGTAGATAATGTAGACCCTTACATACTTACATCGTCATCAACATTGTCGNTCATTGTCGTCAGGTCATTTGGTATACACTGCAGAAGAACGACCTTGTCTAATATACCAGAGGCAGGAAGGATTTTGCCTACCTACACTTACCACGCTGGCCAGACTGAATGGAAATGGGAAGGCTACTTTGGTTTTTTCCATAACGATATAGAGAGATGCCAACTAATGCACTGAGTTCGAAACTCAGTGTCGCATTAGAAATTCACACACACAAATTAATCAAAATATGTGTTCATTATCCACTGCGGTATCAGTACTCAACGTTCGAATAATCTTTAGTACCTACTACTTACGCAAGCAATGTAAACTGTTTACATTATGACGTCTGCAGCAATATGTTCTGTTTTTGGGCATATTGCTGCGTCACCGGTCCCGCCCCCTTGTCACATCTCCCTTTAGTTTCTGTGACCTATGGTTTTTGCTTTGGTACCTACCTATTTCGTTTTAGTTTTCTCACATATGCTAATATCTTGAGATGCTATACATAGTATAAACCATAGCAACGATGAGTGTACATCCACAAAATAGTCCAGTAGAATTAGATTTAAATCGGAAATAATTCCTACAAAAGATTTTATTGCTTTAATGGCTTCATTGGTTGCCCATTAAGACTCTCCTAGGTTTTCGACTTCGACGAAGCTGTGCTTAAGTGGTGGGGGCCCCCGAAAGGGGCGCTTTTTCGGTTTTCCGGTTATACTGCGTAAAGGACTTACCCTATCGAAAAGTGGTCGTCCTGACGGTTGAAGGGCATTAAATCCTGAATTAAATAAGACTAAGGAATTATTTCCGATTTAATTCATTTTTGTGTTTAATTCTACTGGCCTAAAATAAGTCAAAACAATAATAACTACAACACAAAGTATTTCCAGTTAAAAAGCAAGTGAGTGATTCAGTCTGTAATGGTGACAAATGAGTTGGATTAGTGTTCAGTCCGAATCCATTTGTCACAGTTTACGCTGTCAATCGGGGACTTAGCATGGTGTGGGATGTGACATTAGAAAACAAGGTTTCAGTAATTAGAACTTTATTATTGAGAAATCACGTACCGGAAAGCGCAGCGTAGGATGTCCACCCACAAGGTGGACCGACGACCTCATAAAGGTAGCAGGAAGGCGCTGGATGCAGGCCGCTACCACAGATAATATAATACTCCGCTACCAACCGGCCATTATGGAAATAATTGAGGTAGGCCTATGTTCAGCAGTGGACGCGTATGGCTGAAATGATGATGATGATGATTTGAATTGTTAGAGTAGTAAATCAAAATCTGTGTAGCACAGTAGGTAGAGTCAGGAAAGCTAAATATCACGGGTTCGAGCACACTTGAGGTAGAAGATTTATTTAAGTGAAATATCATGTTTTATTTGCTACCTTTCACCCTCAGTATCAGATAATAATCAATATCGTCAAATAACGTCCAGTAGAATCTTCGTGAAGAAGGTTAAATATCCTTGTCATCTTCACAAACTTAAAATTCAAGAGATTTCTGAGAGAGATTCTGGTAGAGAAAGCTCGAAGGCTTTGAGTCCGTCAATTTCACTATAGTTTTGTATGTTTACATTCCTTTTAGTTTACATCTGAGTGAAGCATGGAGTATCTAATATCACTGAAAAAGGAAAATCATTTTCAGCCCATAGCCCATCATCTTTACCGAAAAAAATTTGCATTAAAGTTTGTTCGTCTTCATTAAATTGTATGAGCAGGAAGACCTTGGATGACATAATTATTCAAAGAAAAAAGAACAGAATGATTGTTCTTAGAACCAGGAAAGTGCTTATTTATTTATATTGGACATGTGTTTCTTAATTAGTTTTTTAATGGTCATATGCAAGT